AGGCCTTTTCTAACCAGCTATTTTTGAATGGAGGTTAAATCACACAGAAATAAAAGAATAATTAACTGTGACCTTTTAAAGTTCATTAAAATCTATGTTTGTGTGAAACCATTTAAGGGTTCTGATATTGTTTCAAGGCTCCATATAATGTTTTATCTCAATATGCAATGAGAAAATTATTTCATAACATCTACACCAGGATTTTTCCTCACTAAAACTCTATTCATGGATCCAGAAACTCTATGCATTGGTCTTTTCGTAGAATGGAGAGCTGCAGATAATGTGCATAATCCAGTTTATAGATGAAAAGGGTTAGGGTTTCAAGTTAATCTCTAAGGAGAAGAGATGTCCCAGTTCTTTTTTTGTGATTCAACGTAAGAGTGAGGTGTTGGACTATAACCTGTTGAAAATAAGAATTATTAAACCACATAACACATGGTAATTTCATATATGCCTTGTTTTACTGTTGCTAGCGCTTCTGTAAAAGTAAAAAAAAAAAAAATTTAAAAAACAAGATCCACTGGACTTGGTTTCCAAGATTTGAAGACGTTTCGCCACCTCTCCAGGAAGCTTTCTCAATCCAATGTCTGGATCCGCAGTGAGTTTGAGTCTTTATGTAGACAAGGCCTTGTATTGCTTGGAAACATGCAAATGGAGCCGATGAGTGAGTCGTTTGGTTCCATTGTTAGCCTGTTATATCTGAAACCTGTCTATGATTGTTAAGGGTCGGTCGTTAAGGAGGTATTACTAGCGCTGTTTGCTCAAACTTGTGCTTGCAACTTATCACCTTGTGGGAACAGTGCAAGGCTAATTGCTAAGGAATATTTTGGGAAGCAGTCAACTGGTCCCTATCAGATAAGTTATCTTCTTGGGCTTAAGTTTAGGTTTATAACCAGGACCATTTGTTAATGTTTATAACGGTGTAACATGTTTCTATGATCTGTACATCCTTGTTAATTTGTGATGACCTTTTGAAAGTTGTTCCATGCCTTCCACTCACTGACTATTAGAGATAGGCACCAGCTGCTGTAATCCAAACAGGTAAAAAACAGACAGTGGATGGATAGATGTATTTATTGCATCTATGGACATATAGACAGAAAATGGTTACATGAAAGGAACAGTCCTGAGTTTATTCCATGAATAAATAATTTGAGCAAATTCTTTGCTCAATTTGTCAATTTGACCTAAATCATTCAAATTGATATTTTAAATTTAATGAAACTAATTCCCTACCTGTAGGATACTTTTGACTGCAGATAAACCGATTCATCGGCTTAGCTATATTTTGGGCCAGTATTAGGATTTTTTTCATTTTGCAATCACATGTCATATAGCGGTCATGCCTTGATATCACGTGCATGCATTGCCACCCTCCATTTGCTATGCTTTGGTAATTTTTTATTTGCTTAATTGTATTTCTTTTTAGTTTAAATGGAGATTTGTATGACATTGTTATCATTGTGTTGTGGAGGAAGAGAAAGCAATATTGGTTTCAAAGGCATCCCTAAAACATCAGCAGCACATATTGGGGAGATGTTGGACTGATGTCAAAAGAGTTGATATCGGCATTGGCCTTAAAAAAAAACAAAACTGTACTGGTTGATCTCAACTGATGTCACAGCAGTGCATTTTTATAAGAACCAAAAAGCTCCAATCTGCACTCTTTCTCTCTTTAAAACTAGAGATTACAAACTGCAAACATCCCCTGATGCTCATTTTTAGTGTTTAAAATGTTTAAACATGTTATCAGTTTAAGATCATATTTGCTGGATCTCAAGTTTACACTTAGGCAGAAACAGCCATTAGAGATTAGTTTTCTTTCAGACACTGATGATTGTTTTGGCCTGATTCAGAGGCAATAGCTTGAAGTTGATATTTTAGAAATTAATAACTTTCAGCTCATATTTCATTTGTGTACACTTTGAATTTAAACACAGACACTGTACTCTGTACATTAGCATGTCTTCTCTGCATTGATCATGTTCCCCTGATACCATGCTGATATGAAACTCGACGAAAATCAGACATAAAAGGCGTAGTGCCGAGGCTAGCTTAGTCACTGTGGGACCAGTTGACTGAGTCGTCGAGGTAATTGGTAGTGTCTATCCACCCAGCAGGGCCCCAGTACCCATAAGCCAAGTCATATCCCCTTTTCTTCTCTCGCCGCTTTATACTATTACTCATCATCTCAACACCTCAATAGGCTAGCGGTGTGAAGCATCACAATGCAGCCGTGTAACCATCCCACGCTCTGCAACTTCTCAACAACAGCAGCAGCAGCGGCAGCACAGCAGGTCGGGGCTTGTGGCAGACTGATTTGCAGTTCGAGCATCTTAATGAGAGGAAAATAAGCACTTGTACAGTGTCTTGTGTGTCACCACCCAAAACCCACCTACCCACCAACATTAGATCCTTAGGAAAAAATAAAAGAAGGCATACTAATTAAGATGGCTTCTTGGGATTTGCACAAAAAAAAAGAAAAGAAAAGAGATTTAGAAATATTGCTTTGCCTTAAGGACAAAAAGTCTCACTGAGTTTCTCTTGGTTCCTTCTCCTGTATGGTCCCTCTTCCTGACTTGTCTAGCTTTATGATTTCTGCTGCTACAAATGCTGTTTTTTTCTCCCTTGTAATTAAAGCAAGATAATTTTCAAATGCTGGGTATTTCCCCTCTACTTCCTCTTGTTAGCATATTAGGGCTCTCCATGGGGAAGGTGTAAAGAGAAACCAATGTGTTTTATCTTTGTAGGCAGGCTTTTTGAAGCTCTCGCACCTTTATCATTTACAGCATGAATGGAGAATGCGTGGGCCATTGGGCTCTTTGTTGTTGTTGAAGGACACATGAAGGTTAGAGCATAGGATGGGGATGGAAGTTGGTGCAGTTGTTTTTCATTTGAGTTTTTTTCACATTAAATGTTAATTCTATGCAACGACTATAAAGCTCTTTACCGCCATTAAATTATGATTTAATTATTTTTTTAGTTTTTTTTTTACCTCAGCTCACTGAAAGATACTGATTGAATAAACCACTGGAACCTAATCAAGAACTTTGGTTTAACAATTTTTATTTAATTCATTTGAGAAGATACCAGTGAGTTTATCTGAGTACAATTTTTCGCAACTTTTACCATCTTCTTTATATTAAAAACGTTTTTTTCAGTAAACTGACTTAGACAACAGACACAGAAGACAATATATGTATTGTATTCTTAAGCATATGAAGCACATTTTAAGACAGTTTTACTGAGAATTAAAAGATGATTACCTACAACTAATTTTGCAAATTTCTAGAGCGGCACTGGAGATTTTTGAGGATTACAAATAGAAAATGGTTGAGTTATTTCTAACTAATAGGTAGTGGCTTCCGCCATGGATCCCTTTAAAGCACTTGTGGTGAAAATAAAATGAATAATAGTGCTCTCATGCTAAACCTTTGTATCGCTTTTAGCAGACTCCAGTTTTCACAGCAGAATATGTCGGTGTAAACCCATTCTGAACGATGTAACGGGCCAAAGAACCCCCGACGGTGGATTTTCTTCCTCCCACTTATTTGTCTTCGCCAATACGGTCGCATGAATCAGTTCGTTGGAACTGTGTTTTAGATTCTTTCTAAAAATATGTTGCACACCGTGCAAAACAGAGCTGTGAATTTTCTCATTTTTACCAATGTCTGGACTGGGCCATCAGTTTAAGAAATCGCCTAGCTTTTTAGAATTGAATCATCACAAAACAGTACATTTACAAACTAATATAGTACTTTTATATTTTAAAGGTATAGGGGAGGATGTTTTTTTCCCGAGAGGATAGTCAAAATAAGTGGTCCTAATTGTCAATCATTCTGGATATAATGTGTGCGTAAGGCCGTCCTACGTGCTCGTCCCCATTTTCACTTACCGGTGGTGAGTCTGACATAGTGGAAACATTGTAAATCTTCTTTTGGAAAGTACGCTGGATGCAAACAACTGGTTGCATAGCGATGCAAACAGCAACCTTTAAACAGAGCGTGCACGAGGAGAAATGGGCTCATGCATGCTCTCACTCATGTTTAATAGTCGATCCCTCTCAGGAGTGGGCACAGGGTTGTGCATGTGCATTTTTTCTTTAAAGTGGAGAGGGAAGTTCTTGTCAAAAATTAGGAGAAATTGTCCCCTATACCTTTATATGAACTGAATGGAATTACTTAAGACATTCTGCAATTTCATAGTGCAGTAGGCTTATTTTTCATGGTTTCCAAACAGATTTATAATTTATAAATCAAACCATAATCTTTGCCATTTTTAGTCCAGTAAGGACAAACCTATAGACGTTCTGCAACAAACCAAACTACCAAGCAAACAGGTAGAGTATTTAAGTCTTTCTCCGGTTGTGACTCAGGGGAGAATTATTAGTAAAACCCTTAATAAGGGTTCTTGCCAAGTTTAACCCATGAATATTTCAAGGTTGAGTGTTCTGCTAAAAATAGCTACACTAATAAGAGGCTGGGGGTTATTTAGCATATATTTCTTATTGCCTGCGTCTGTCTGACAGAGATCTGAGGGACTGAGTGGGACAGAGAGGTGGGCACGGACTTGTCGAGAGAGTCAGACACGTCGACTAAGAAAATAAAAACCTGAGTTTGTGTGTGTATGAGAGAGAGAGAGAGAGAGAGAGAGAGAGAGACGGAGGTGTGAGGTGGTGGGTTTGACACAGAGAAGAGGGGACGAGCCTTTCAGCTCCTCCAGAGGGTTGGAATTCCTCCTGAGCTGCCTTTTGGCAGACAGTTGTGAAAACAATTCCCCAGCTTTTAGTCACTGCACAGATCCAATTGCCATTTCCACCTAGGAGGGAATGAAACTTTAAACCAATCCAGACAGACACAACATAGAGAGAAAAAGAGAGAGGAGTTTTTAATCAGGCTGGACAGATGCCGAGGTCAGTTGAATGTTTGGGGGATATTAATATATTATGAGGGCCGTCTGGCGGTGTAAGCTCACCTTCTTGTGTGGTTTTGTGTTTGTAGATTGCAGCCGCAGCACCAGCCGCCGTCGCAGTGGCCAAATGAAGATTTTGTGAACATGCACAGGGAGAGCACTTTACCTTTCACAGCGCTTAGTTCCCCAGATGCTTTGGCCAAAAGAAAGATGGAAGGAAATTGGAAAAGTAAGAGAGTTAACTCATTCCTAGCGAACAAACTGCTGATTTACCTAATTTATGATTAATTAAACTATATGATAAACATTTTGTAATATCCATAGTTTACATATTTATGCTTAGCGCTAAAGGAAAAGTAATTCAAGTGCCAAAATATTTTGTTTGCTGTTGTAGAAAGCTAGACTGAATGTGGAAAATAATGTGCAACTTGACATCCGTGCGTCTCCGCCAAGTCTGCTCTCTGCTCCAGCTAAGGAAGATGAATAGGCATAGTAAATAAACCTTCTGCTCTTCTCTAGGCTTGAGCCAAGACTGCAGCACGGAACCCATTCAGTGAGCCAGCATAAGATCCGTCCGTACGCCACGTCGCTGAAGCCCCTCTTCTTCCTTTTTAACCCCCCTTGAGCATTGAGCATCATGACCTCTGAGCTGGGGAGCAGCCTAACCTCCATGGACTGGCTTCCACAGCTCGGCATGAGAGCAGCCATCCAGAAGGCAGATGTAGGACACCACCACGGTCATCTTGGGCATCACCACCACCACATGCACCATCATGGACATGGACCGGGGAAGAAGATGGTGCATCTGGATCCAGGAACCACACTGGATCAAGAAGAAGCTGCGCAGCACAGAGACGGCAAACCCCCTTATAGCTACGCCAGCCTCATCACCTTTGCCATAAATGGCTCCCCTCGGAAACGGATGACGCTCAGTGAGATCTATCAGTGGATCTGCGACAACTTTCCTTACTACAGAGAGGCGGGAAGTGGCTGGAAGGTAAGAAAAAGATATAAGCAAGCAGCTCAACATTTAGGGGGTTTTTTTTGACTAGAATATACAAACGTTTTTACAATAAGAGTTAAATATTATAACAAATAAACATAAAACTTAGAGTAAGTTTGTTTTCAGGCTGATCAGAGAGATGCTGGAATTAACGTCAGGATATTTCAAAAACCAGAGATGTGTTTTTATTTTGTGTCTGTAGCTTTTGTGTTAATGTTTCCAGTAATGCCAAACTGATTGCCTCTAGAGATTTGCTCCACATTCTTTTTTATGAAAATTCATGTCCTGTTGTTGCTGTGTAGCTCTAAGCATTTTAATGAACATGCATGCTGCATTTAGTCTTAGCCTTTTCTGTAGTCACTCCAAGGGATCCGGCCTGACCGTCTCATTTTGACCATTTGTTCGTTCTTGAACCCCCTGTACTTACAGGCACCCCCTCCCTAGCTCCGCCAATGTTCTAATATTGCTCTTCATCCATCAAATCTTGGATACGGAAATGATGTCATCCCAAAATAAGATTTGGCCTTCATTTCTGTGTCAAAAGGCTTAGAAGGTTTGTTAAAAGTACAAGCCTATAGCAGTGTATTACCATATATTCTGGACTACAAGGTGCACCTGAATATTACATGCACAAGCTAAAATTAGGGGAAAATCCTGTTTTGTTCATACATTAGCTGCACCTGACTAAAAGCCGCAGGCGATTTAAAATTTAAATTACCATATGTAAGAGAATATGCACAAAGGGGATTGTCAGGAAAGAGATGGCTCTTTGGGAACATATATCTTTTATTAACAGTTTTAAAAACAAGCTACCGTTACATATTTGCATTTGCAACTTTTTATGTATATGTACAACTTTGGATAATTACAACTACGAAACGTACTGTACTGTTAAAACGAGTAACAAATGTGCTGCATAAAAATAAAATATAGCACACCAGAAAAATAGATTTGGTCTACCTTTTGGGTTAAGGTGCAGCTTAGACTTTAAGAAGAAGCAAGTCATTCATCGCCATCGCCATTGTCTTCTTCCTGCGTTCTTCCACCAAAGTCCTCTTCTTCAGTGTCAAAAACAAGCAGGCTCAAACAAACAGGCTCAGGGCGGCTACATCATCCACTCTCTGCTTCTCTCCTTCCCTGACGCTTTCAAAACCAAAGAACTCCTCGCTGTCAGAATCAAACACCTTCTGAAGGGCAGTGGCGGTGTCCTCCTCTTCATCATGCAGCAGTCCAACCCTTCAAAATCAGTTAGTGATCGTGGATGTTTTGACATCTCTTCACACTATCAGAATCCACTAGCAGATTTGGACAATACTTGCTTTTCGCATGCAACCAGTTTTGGTGAAGGATTTATCGCCATTTATCACAAAAATCATAAAGAATCGATAGAAAAGCCACATTGGACAATAAAACGCAGGGTTCAAGCTTGTGAGAAAAGTAGTGCCTTTAATCCAAAAATTACGCTACTCTACATCTAAAAAACACTTACTATTAGTGGTTATTAAGTGCTTTTGTATTGAGTGCAAATTATATGTGTTTATTTTCATTATTTTAAGATTAAAACTGGTGAAACACCTTCACATCAGCAGAGGACAATTATCTCAACATTACCTTTATCACAATTGAAAAAAAGGACAATCCTGAGCATGGCTAAAATGGCACTAGGATAAATTAAGATAATGTCAAACAACACAATAAAAAGCTACATTGGTGGGGATTCTAACATTAAAACAATGCTGGGCATACATGACTTGGGCCTCTTTGTCAAATGTACCAATAATCTAAAGATATTCAGTTTATATGTGAGAAAAACTAGTTTTAAAAAGCTCTACTCTGAAAAACTTTTGTGAGTTCTCCTTCTATGTTCCTCTCCGGGTGGGTTTTGTTGCATTGATTGTGCCTGTAAAGCAGTTATTACACTTGTAGAGAAGATTTGGATTATTATACTGAGTCTTTACCCAGTAGTCCCTAAAGTATCAGTATGGACAGCTTCTTGTATTTCTTCCAAGTTTCTTTTTTCAACACGCTTTTTGTGATGGTCTAATCACTAGCCAACCTATTCCAATATTGCTTTGATCTTGGCTTCCAGAGACTTTCTCCATAGGAGGCTTTACTCCTTATGGCTCTTTATGGGTTGCTGTATTCATCTTATTGCCAAACTTCTCTAAGATCACCGTTATTTTGCTGTATGTGAGATTATAGACTTCTTTGATGGTCTCAGCAGGAAAACTTTGGAGCACTACACAGTGTTGCTGCAGTGGATCTGAAATACAACAACTTTTAACACTTGGAGAGGAAAAAAAAAGTCAATTTCTGAGGCTTGAAGGTACATTATAAAAAAAGAAAAGAAAAACTACAGCTCTTTGCTTAAGATGTTTTCAATTCAATCATTAAACATTGATATTTTGCATCCCACAAATATATGTCTTTATTTGAATGTATTCCGCTGCTATGAGTCCTATTTCTTATTTGCTTACATATATTTAGGTGGTTTAAAATATATCTGACTCAATCAAAGGAATTAATATTGGCTACCAATTGCATCATATCCTACGAAACTCATAGCGTTGGGGGATAGAGTGCAATGCACCAACTGATCAAGTTGTTGCCTGAAAGAGCACAGAAACCTTTTGGTGAACTGAAAATGATTGACAGGTGCATTTTATCTCATTCAGAGGACATTATTAAATCCTTATGCAAATGTAGCAATGCAAATCTTGGCTAATACCAGTGGAAAGGTGGCAGTGTTATTGGAGACAAATGAATAGATCCTTGCGGTTTGTATCTTGGGGATTCTGTGCCTTATTAGCGAAGAAGGGGATGGATATAGTCCTTCGACTGATGCTCTGAAAAGGCTGTCTGCAAACTATGAACCAATTCATCTCTCTGAGAGCGGGAACGTTTTTCCTCTTCTCTCATTATTTCTCTTTCCTTTCACTTTCCATCTTCATCTCCCGAGCACTTGCACCCCACCAAACCACCTCCCCTCTCTTTTCCCCACTCTCCGAGTCAGTCACTCTTCTCGTCTCTTTTGCTTTTTTCCCTTTCACAAAATGTTTGTTCCCTGTTTGTAATCTTGAACGCTCCGTTCCCTGAACACAGATGCATACCCGATTTGGAGACAAAAAGGTTACAATACAAGCTGGCAGGGCTCCTTCACCTGCACATAGATTCAATCAATTAGATTTTGTCTCCAGAGTAGTGATAAAGGTTACAAAGACCCTTTTTGGCGTTTTCTTACAGCAGACAGTGAATGCATTATGCTGATGGTTTTGCTGGAGTGCCAGGATGTTGTGTATCCGATAATTATACCATGATACGCATTGATTGTGTATGTGTCTAGCTGCATTCTGTTTGTGATCATTAACGCGCTACGCCGGTGGCATTCGGATTGTCTTTTCACTCTGTCTGGCATTCACCCATGATGGCCCTGCAGAGCTATGCTGCTTTTTAATTAAGCCAGGTACAATATGTATATTATATTGCATGAGTAAGAATAGCAGCAGCTGAAAAATATTGTTCAGACTTCTTTTACAAAGATGGATTTTAATAAATAATATGAAGGAGGGCCTTCACCTGTAGAAAACAAAACATTTTGATCTATTTGTTTATGTTTGTCTATTTGTTTATAAATGTTGTTGTTTTTTTTTTTTGGTTAAATTTGAGACTTGTGCAACATCGTTATAATTGCGTCATGTTTATCTTAGAAATGGAGGAAGAAAAAGCCATATTGGCTTAAAAACATCAGCCCCAAAGATTTCGGCAGCAGACATTGGAGATCGATTAGGCTGGCCAAACAAAAAAAATGTATCGCTTGATCTCTAGTTAGGTTCAAAAACCATATAAAGAAAAATTTCCATCTCACAGAGTGAAGAGATCAACTGATTGGATACAAGAATCTGTTGGCGGCACAACTATAAGACTTAAACCTTGCCAACTTGGCCTTCATTGAACCCTGGGGGAGGAAAACATTTTTAATTGAAAGATAAGTGCAAATTATCCAGTTTGTAGTTTTTCACAAGCCAAACTGCGGGTAACAAGACACTGTTAAACATGGCGATGACAGCATCATGCTGAGGGGATCCTTCTCTTTGGCAGGCAGGGAGGTATTTCAGAGTTAAAGGAGGATGCATGAAGGTAAAAGCAGAGCCAAAGCAAGAGCTGGCATGCAATGGCACCGGTAGAAGAATATTCGTACATTACAAAGACCTGAGTCCAGATCTGAATCCAATATGACCAAAATAAAAAAAAGGGCAAAGATTGATTCTGGGATGCAAGCCTCACTTTTCAGATCTTAATTTAAATTTTTTTTTGAAGCATCAATCATTTTCCATCCACTCCCCAGTTCTGCAGTTCTGCATTTATCACGTAAAACCTCCTAAACTTGGTGTTGAACTTGAAGGTATATGAAAACCTTGGCAAGGCACCCCTAGGCATAGATCACAGTGCATTATATTGAGTGAGATTAAAGTATTAGTTTGCTCAGAAAAGCTTTAGACTTTAGCTTTCTGGATGACCTAACTCGTCACAGCGGGGCATGTTTTGTATCAGCTGTCACATGGAAAGTTACATAAGACCAGTTCATTCCAGTTAAGGTGATTGCTGAAAGCTTTACACGGTGGGATCCAGACTCAAAGATTGTCTCCCTGCCAGATTCTGCTGATATTGATGGGTGACAGATACACCGACATGAAGTACACACTACAAGATGGATGTTATCTGAATTTAGACTAGCGGCCAACTCTTGTGATTTCAGGGAACACTTTGCATATAAGATATGTCTGGATACGCGTGTCTATCGCTGCACGTGCGTGTGTGTTTACTTGCAAACCGGTGGGCCCACAGTTGAGACTCCCACTCAGGTAGGCAGGATACGTGTGCAGTCTGCAGATTACAAGCAGGCAGCTCGGCAGGAGATGAAATGGGAGGAGGAAGAGGGGTGGAGGGTGCTGTTAGAGAGCAACGGAGAGGTTTACTACCCAGCACACGCACTC